GTGGTACAGAGGGTTCAATACGAGATGGAACTTGAAAGGAAATACAAATAAAAGGCCATTATCCAATGATGATCCTTGCCATCTGGAACCAAAGAACTATCCTTTGAAAGGAAACATAATATAGACTATAAATACGATGAATAGATTTAGGCATCTAATTTCTAATAAAACTTACGAAACAAAAACCCCTACAGTCCTACCTATGCTTAAGAAACGGAGTTCCCTAATCATATTCTACTCTTGCAATCAACAAAGCATACACTTAAAGAAGCTGTAATGGTTGATTCCTTGTTCAACAGTTAACGCATTCTAAATGGCGAAGTAAACATGTCTCCAAGAACAGGAAATTGTGTTCTTTTTGTTCTTTTCCATCATTAATGGATTCTTAAGATGAAACACTTTGTCTTGACAATGCCATGGCACGTGGAATCCACACATAACATTGCTTAGACAGAGAGGAAGCAATACAGAGATAGAAGAAAGAGAGTGAGTGTGTATGTGTGAGAGATAGAGATGTGAAAAAATGGTGGGAAAGGCCAAATTTAAGCAAACACATTGAAGCCTTACCAAAAAATAAAAAACATTGAAGTCTTAAAATATAGAAGTAAATAAGCCTTAAAAATAAAGCATATGCAAACCAAGGGAACTACTTCTAACTTTTGTATGAATATAATTTGTGCCACATCACTGTCAGTGTTACATCGTGTAGCATAAGAGTGCGCCCGTAAAGGTAGCATTTTTTGTGTGGACTGCCTATCTGAACAGGATTTTAACCAGGGATAATTTGGTGAGGAAAAAGTATGCTGTTGGAAACATCCATTTGTGCTCTTTGTCAGGAGCATAATGAATCAGTCAATCATTTGTTACTACACTGCAGCTTCTCTTCTGAGGTATGGAATAAGGTCAGAAACTAGTATGAAACTTTGTGAAAAGCTGGAGGGTCAAAGGCCTCACAGAAAGGGGAAATTTTGGTATGTGCCATTCATCTATCTTTGATCTTTCTCTGTTGTATCTTTTCTTATAATTTTTCAGTTTTGAGTTTCAGTTACTGAAAACTGAAAAGGATAATCTCTCTGTTCCGTTCTACTGTCACAAAGCAAGCAAACTAGCAAGAAAAGCTCCATTCAGTAATCAGTACTACTACACTAACTTATAGACTTTGTACTTTATCTTTTATTTCTGCCTTTTTCTTTGATACTTCATTGGTGAGTAACGAGGAAGGTATTGCTAACATTTCCTCTTAACCTATTTATTTTAATCAATGAGTTCGAAGATGATCCATGTGCTTTACTTAATTCCCTATAGTTCTGTCTTTTAAAAAAGTGGTCATGGCTTGAAGTAATGGAACTTTTTCGGAAGACTTTGTCAAATAAACAGTGTTATGAACCATATCCTCCCCCCCGGTGATTGTATCCTTAATTTTTATGTTTTCACTGAACTTTTATACATCGTTATAGAGCCTTTGATTAAAAACTAAGTAAAATATCATTTTTTGCAAATTGCAATATTAAAAAATCAATTTTGTAGGATCATGTTTTATTTATATTTGATAAAATCAGTTGACTTCCTATCTATTTCCAATTCAAAGTTCAAACAGTGTTTGCAGAAGAAAAACTCTTTCTCTCTATCAGACTTCTTTGAGGCATTTGATGTCTTGTACGTCATACTTAAATTTAAACAGAGTATTAACCTGATATGTTGACATTTATAGGAAAAATGCTAAATTCTCCTCAGTTGTGGCTGTTTTACTATCCATACTGTTATTGGCTTGGACAGTAAACTCTTCACATAATCTCATGATCTTACTAGAAATGAAAATAGGGTGAAATCTTCTGTTCTCTCTCCAGAATTTGTGCTGGGACCAGGAACAGTGGCAAACAAGTACTATTACAACATTGACTTTCTAAGACGTCACATTGCTCATAGAGAATTCAATGCTGACGTTGTTGATGAAGCAGGGAATCCTATTCCTCTTCATGAAACTTATCTCCATCACTATGTCCCTAAGGATGTCAAAATTTCTAAGATCCCAAGTTATCATGAGCTTCACCAATCAAAAGGTTTTATAGTGAGAAACAGTGGAGTATGCCAGGGGAATTTCCTAGGCAGTATTTTGGCCTTGAATCTGAAACACGCAAAACTGCCACATTATGTCCCAGATCCTTATGGGATAGAAGTCGGGAATCCAGCAGAAATTCCTGATGGATATGAGGAGAGATGGCTGCTTAATGTCCATGCAATTGATACACGAAATGTGGTGGATCGATTGGGATGCACAAAGTGCAGGTGCAATCTTTATAATGTTACAGAGGATGAATTTGGCCAGCCTTTGAGGCCAGATTATACTGGAGGACTGTACTGTTGCTATGATCAAACAAAATGCAAGGTAACTAAGACTGATGGGGAATTGATAGCATTTCATCCTAATCTCATCTTGGAAAGATCTTCATAGTGCTAACTAGGACTGCTTCTAGCAATTAATCCACTTATGACAAATGAAATATGCAAGCTTTGGAAATTCTAATGGTAAAGAAAACCTTCCAATTGATCTGCAAAATGCATTTAGCTATGAGTACATATATTTAAATGTTTGCATCAAGGTCAAACAAACACTGGTAATGACTATTTGCAAGTTTAGAAAGAATTCTATGCAACATAGGCACTCTACTTCACAGATCTACTGAATTAATATGCATGTTTTGTGGATTGCCCTTTCTTAATTAATGTTAATCATGTCATTCTCAATATCTAGTGATTCCTTGCACAGGTAGAATATGAAATTGAATCTTGCAGTACCACTGGAGTGGTTAATGGTGGGTGTATTGATGGCAAAAAAGCAAGCATAGTTATCCCTAGAGGGGGTAATGTCATCTATGGTGTGTTGTTACCAGCATTCAGGGGGAAATGGAGCAGCACTACATGGAGAGGCGATTATGAATTATTCCTAATCAAGTTTTTATTTTCTTTTATTTTATGCTCATATGTTTTTAATTAGGTAAGAAGAACTAGTATACACAGTGATGCAAATTCATTGATAATCAGTCTTCACGCACAACCACTGATATCAAACACTGCAGGCCTGCAGCCCATCCTTTTAATTGCTTTTCTCCTTATCTGCATAGAAATCACTGAACCCATTTCCTAATAGTTTCCTGAAAGCCTGAGGCTTACGAGTTGAAAATTTGAAGTCTTTTTATCATGATTGAAATGACTGTTGCATTACTGGTAAGCAATTATATTTGTTGAGTTGTAAGCAAAATAATAATAATAATAATAATAATAATAATAACAATAATAATAATAATAATAATAATCCAATGCATTCAGACTGTTAATCAATTCATCAAAGCCTTAACCTAACCATGTGGTTTCTTTTTGGGTTACTATCTAGAGTGTGCTATAAGAATCTTCTTTTATCACTTTTTTACCTTTTCAAGGGCTATATTCACAATTAAATTGCGAGTCATCAGGTGTTGTCTCTCACTAGATCACACACACAGGTGTCTCTACATGCTTATCATAGTGCTCCTTGGTGTAGTAGATGTCCTTTTATGTACTTCAAACTATTTCACTTGCTTTTCCTTCATCATTGTCGTATTGGTTCATCCTGAAGTCTAACTAAATCATTGAACTAACTCCTAATGGGCTTCCATAGAAATACAACATCCAAGTTGCCAAAGCAACTTGCTATTTTCAAAAAAAAAAGGCGAAATAATGCTCAAAAATGAATATAATCTAGAACATCAAAGAACAAAATGGAGCCAGAAACCATAATTGGTTAATGTAAAGCAAAATGGAGGAACTGGATTCATGCTGCTAAACCTACTAGGTATGATGGCAGAACAGGACAGAAGATGACAACAATGAGCCTTAGATTTTTCTCAGCAAAGGTACCTAGAAGAAATTTGGAGACCAAAAACACCAAAACATACAAAATAGGGAGAGATTTTTACCTTGGTATGCCATATGGATGGGTGAGAGGAGATTAGGGTAGCCTAGCCAGAACCCATGCCGCTAACATCAACGTCGCCAATCGGTGCCGTCCGGTGGAGGGCAAAAAAAACCAACAATCAGGGGAAATCAGAGAGAGAGAGAGAGGAGACACGGAAAGGGCAGGAAGAGGAGGAATGTGAGTAAAGGGTTTACGCAGGGAGGAAATAAGGCCCTAATACATTTTTCGCGGCTCCCTGTCTTTAGCGGCAGTTTTAATTGACTGCCGCTATAGGCTATTCTTATTAGCGGCAGCCCTCCCTTAGCCACTTCTTGAACTGCTGCTAAAAACTCCTTTTGCTGTAGTGGTGTGTTTCTTGTTCTTGTTTATTCTTTATATGGGGATGGATTGAGTTTAAGAAAGAACTTTTTGGGTTAGGGGCAAGGCAGGCTAGGTCCTCCCCCGTAATCTCTTTTCTTCCTTTTTGATAATGGTTAATAAAATCTCAAGGTGGCTGCCCCTCCCACCTGGAGTAAAGTTTGGGGTTAAAAAAAATTATTAGGCGATTTCAGAGTACGTACCCTCTTAAATGAGCTTACAATTAAATCCTGTAAATATGAGACACAAATGGCCAGCATTTATGGAGTGAGGGCCCAGGCCCAAGACAGCCCAATCCCATCGCCTTTCTTTGGATTTGGAATTGGAATGGCTGTCCTCTCAAGTCTCAAATAATTAACTTTAGTTAATCCTTCAAAGCATCAAAAGAATCTCAAACCATCTTTGATCCATGAACATCAATATTATTTAATCAACACTCAAGGCTCAAGCTTAGTCAATAGATGTTCAACTTAAGATCCAGCAAATGAGAAATTTTTATTACATGGACGGTCTGGGATGTAATACTAATAGACTTATAGACTTTGATCCAAATGCCAACCTTGTTTTTGACAGGAGCAACACCTTCAAAAGCGTTCAATTTGAGGGTTGCTTAGTTGGGGAAGGAATCAACCATAAAATACTGAAGGGCTTCTCGTGTTTGATGCCAATGCCATAACTTTTGCACCAAATATACAGTACCCATTACCAACAGCCAATATATAAATAATTTTTCCATTTACAATGGAAATGGATCATCAGACAACAGAAACTAAGCCTACAATTTTATTATCAAAAGAAAGCAAAGGATGGAAGATACTCCCAATTCCCAAACAAAAATTTTCAAAACCATCCTCATCAATTTCAGAAATTGGAAAAAAAAAACAAGAAAATGACGAGCTTACACTCTTGAGACAAACTAAATCAATCCACACAGATTACGTTAAGCAACTTCTCAGCTGCCTCACCCAGCTCTACCTTCTCCATCTTCAACCGATGACGCATTGATGCACTTGTCTTCCCACTGGCTGCATACATCCGTATCAACGATTCAAACACCTCAGCTCCAATGTTAACATCAGCCTTCTTTAACGTCTCCATAAAGCCTTCTGCACCCTCAACATCCCTCTCTTGCTCAAAATGTGTCATCAGAGACTGAACAACTTCTGGTGAAGGGGACCATTTCCCCCCATCTCCCCTCCCCGTAGAAATTGCATTTGCAACACAGTCAACTGCCAGTTTCATCTCCCCATTCTTCAAATAATAATCCATAAAAATCTCCCATGTCTTGGCATTAGGCTTGCTCCCTCTCCTCTGAGATCGTTGCTTGACTTCTTCTGCCTTCTCTAGCATACCCTCTTTAGCATAGGCTCCTATCAGGACATTCGCGATTCGGATGTCATAGGTTGAGCACCCAGATTCCCACTCTTTAAAGCATTTCTCAGCCCCTGGCAAATCTTTCAATTTCACCAGTGCTTGAATCATGTTTAGATAACTTATGTTTGCTGTTTTGGGAAAAGCAAGCCTCAAAGACCGCCATACCCGATAGAGTTCGATCACATTTCCTGTTCGCCCATACAATGTGATCAGAAACTGAAAAGCAGACAGATCCTTGCACGCATTCCTCTTCTCCAACTCCTTCAGTGCCTTTTCTGCCTTGTCATATAAGCCAGCTTCAACATAAATTGAAGCTAAATTGCTGTATGTTGTCCAATCTCCAGTGGCTCGACCATCCCTCTTCATCTCCTCCATGACCCTCTCAACCCCAGAGATGTCATTGACAGCAGCAAGAGCCCTCATCCAGATATTGTATGTACAAGTATCTGGCTTGATGTCACTCGCCTTCATCTCCTGTATGATAGCTGGGATTTTGTCAAACTGGCCATTTTTTGAGTAGAGAGTCATCAAGCTGTTGTAAGCCATGGAGCTTGAAGCAAATCTCAGTTCCTTCATCTTTTCCATGAGAGCTTCTGCCTTTTCTGTCATTAGTTCTTTGCAGTAACAGTTGAGAAGGGCACCATAACATAGGTGGGTTTTTGATGCTTCAGGGAGATCCATGAAATAATTTTCTGCAGCAGCAATGCCACGGGATTTTGCAATAAGATCAAGATGGATAGCTTGGTCGCTGGCCGTCATGTTCATCCCCCTTTTGACCATGGATTCTGAAAGCTGTAGGTGTAGGGCAACAAAAAGAATTCATATTAATTGCAGAATTGAGTTTGAACTAGCAGGCTCCGATTTCAAAACTAGGTGCTCATTTTGTTTCTGGGCTTTTACCTTTAAGGCAGGGCAGAACCTGCCGCGCTGCCGAAGCTTCCTGAGGGTGACGCCGACCTCCCATTTGTAGACTCTCTTGGAACTTTTGAGGAACTTATTTAGCTCCGTTCGAACACTCTTATCTGAACTCCCCTCTTTGAACAATGTCTCATTCAGTGCGTTCTCTAAGTACTTCTTTGAACGCTTTGCCACGTTCTTCGTCCTCCCAAGATGCTGAAACGCCATTTTTAGATTAACCTGTTACCTGTCCTGTTAGGGTTTTGCCTCTTTGCCAGCCACAGAGAGAGAGAGAGAGAGAGAGGTTAAAAAAACGAAAAGACCGGACCGGATGATCTCAAAACAGTTTACCGCCTACCTATGCAAAAGACCGAATTAGAACTCGGGCCAGATTGATCGAAACTAGGACTCATTAAACTAAAAGCTGAATTATCTACCAATAAGATATAAAAGAAATGTTACATGAAGAGAAATATTACAATAAACAATATTGAGACTTTAGAATATTCAAACATCGTATAATAATTATCATTCTTTCAATTTTTATTAATTTTTGGAAATATTTTTATTTAAATAATAAATATGTTTTCATTTTTAATATATAATGCTTTTATTTTACATATAATTGTAAAATAAAACAAATAAATCATTTAAGGTAGATAAAATAAATTAATTATAATTTTCAGTTTTATTTATTTTTTTGGGGAAATTAAATCTTAAATTATTCATTTCAGTTTTTATAATTATAATTTTCTGTTTTTCATCAATTTTGTTGGAAAAAATTATTTATTTAGTATTTTATTTAATAACTCTAGTTTTTCAAACAATAACTATGTTTTCATTTTTAACATATAATTATGTGTAAAATAAAATATATAAATCATCTAAGGTAGATGAAATATATTATTTTTATAATTTTTAGCTTTTATTAAATTTTTTGGAAAATTTATATCTTAAATTATTTATTTCAGTTTTCATAATACTATTTTTTAATTTTTATTAAAGATGAAAAGCAATCCAAAAGTAGTCAATATACAGTTTTGTCAAACTAGGCACGAATACGCCTCCGTATCTGTGTGTATTGGATTGTATCCATCGATACAGTGCGATACGGCCCAATATGCATGACTCCGGAATATGTATCCAATCGTGGTGTATCCTGTACCCATGACCATGGATATAGAGACGATATGCCCCGTATCAGGAGTATCGTATCGATACCTTAATCCTTGATTTTGAGGAAGGATCAAAGTATGGGTATCGATCATTTAAAAAAAATCGTATTAACAATATTAAATTTAATATCAAAAATAGTCACAAATAATATATAAATACAATTTTTTTATAATGCATCAATCAATATTTCAAAACACATTATATAAAATTTCATAAATTAATATATGCACAAAGCCATTATTTTGGTATTTTCTATTTAAGTTCAAGGTGCAAAATATATACAACTATTATATTTTATTTTTTATATCAATTATTTGTTCTATTTTACTATTTCACTTTTTAACATTAACAAAAAAAAAAATCAACTAAATATTAAATTATCAAATGTTTGGTGAACAATATTTTTATTTTTGTAAACAATAAATATGTTATCAAAATAGTTAAAATTTATAAGATACATATCATATGCAAATTCATAATTTTAATTACTAAAGCAGTTATTTATCAATATGTTTATTTCTATAATTTTTCTGAAATAAAATTCATTTTATATAAATGTAAATTAAAATAACGATTAATAATTTATAAAAACATATAAAAAATGTAAATGCTTAATGATGTGAAAACTTATAAATTTTAAGTACTAAAAGATATATATATATATATATATATATATATTACCCATTAATAAAAATGAGAATGGCTTATTGGTTATCTCAAAATACCCTGATTTCATACTTCCACTTTTACCCCTATTAGTAAAATATATTTCCATTTTTACCCCTTATGAGAATGGTTCATTGGTTATCGTCAAAAGACCCTGATTTTATACTTCCACTTTTACCCCTGTTATTAAAATATATTTCCATTTTTACCCCTTTGTCAAAACATCAAAACACCCTCAGAAAAAGTCGGTTTATACATGTTAAAACAACTGTAGAATGGGCGAACATGAGAGCTACAGATTTTTCTTTTGGACATTTGTTGCCAATGGAACACAAAGTGTTCTTTTGCTTTAACTTTGATAAATGGCCAATTATGCCAAGAGGTTTCAATGGGTTTTGTTTCTTTCTCATCAAAATCGGTTTTGTCGGAAAGCATAGTTAAAACGATTGCCGGTCAGGTAGGACAAATAAGATGCCATTAACGTGGTTTCGACATTCCAACAACATAATTAATCTAACAAGTAAAGTACTTCTACCTACTGTATTTTTAATTTTAATTATAATTTTTTTTTTTTTGAACTAAATGATGTTATAGAACCCATTGGATTAAATCTAGTCATGCATGTTCAGACTTCAATGAAGCCATGCATGTTCTTTATTTCTTAAACAAGTCCAGCTTAAATGCAAGACATTTTCCTTTTAAGTTCTAATGATACTCTTTTTAGAAGACAGACTCTATGTTCTAAGTAATGAGTTTGTTCAAGTTACTAACTGAAAAATCTAGATGAGGTCTAGATTAGGTGGTTACTAAAACCTACTCCATGTGTTTGGTTGATTGCTCCATAAACATTCTGCCATCAGCTACCAAAATTAGCTTAAGGTATCGAAGAGTTAATATGAACTTGGGTTCCTTAGCCCCAAGTAGATCATAGATGATCATTTACCTTTCACATTTGATACATTAAGATAACTCCTTCCATTCAAATTTTTATCCAAGCGGATCCCCTATGATGAATCCATTGTTCCAAGGAAGATGAGAGCATTTCTCACAAGTCAATTGCCTATAGCCCAAGAAATCCAAAAAAAAGACGGCAATGTGGCAAAATGGAACTATTTACTTCAAAGATCTAGCCCCAAATATCAATCCTCCAAGTTTTGGAAGAATCTGCTTTTGTTAACCAATTGACACTGGACAATTTCCTTCCACTAAAATGTCATAAAAACAGAACTTTGCAAGTTTTGGAATGTATTTCAATCTCCAATGTGGTCCATGCTTTACAAGTTTAATATTCAAAGGATGAGTTTTATTGATTTAGTTTTACAAGTYTAATACACAATCGAGGGTAACCCATTGTGATTGTTACACATGACTTACCTATGAATCCAATTGTGGTTATTATTCCAAGGACGGCGGTGGTATAAGACTCATCTTCAAGTATGATAATAATTGTAAGTAGGTTAAAGGAATGGTAGTATTAAAGGGAAAGATTATTAAAGGGTAGGATGGTGAGATATATTCTTCATAGACATAATCTATAATTCTGCTACTAAGGCTTACTTTGAAATTTATATTATTTGCCTTTGTAGATTTTAGTGGGTTGTAGTCTTCTACTTTATTTAAATTGGTTTTTGCATTTAAATTAATATTACCTATTTGAGTATGTTGATTATAGGAAAGTTTTGACTTCAGCTCTTTGAATTGCTTACTTGAAATTTTTATTATTTGAGTTTGTGGATTTTAGGAGACTACAAGTATCCTGTTTTGTGAAACATGATATGAATTGGTATTTCAGCATTCAAATTTATGTTATATTATTTTTTTAATTGGCTACATGATTTTATCATTGCTCTGTAATTGCTATCAATTGTTGTGCTTAGGAATTTTAACACTTCATTTCCAAATTTATTTTGAATGCCTTAGTGTTCTTACTACTGTGAGGCTAGAGCAAACAAATCATTTGAGTGTGACATATTAGATACTCAATATAAAACTTGCTTTTATTCTATTTTCTTTGTTAACTTGTATGAATAGTTCCACAAAAGCATAGATACAAAAACAAATTAAATGTACATATTTTCAGTATGAATATTGGAAGCAATGGTTTATATTCCAAAGGGTCCTAACATTGCCAATGAAGTTGGAGATCACATTTGGTGTTTTAGATGCATTAATTCTTGACATAAAATAGCTTTTGGTGATACTTGGAATTATGCTTGAACACATTTATCATTTTTGCCTTTTGTGGTGATATCTAATTTAATAGGACTTCATTTAGAATATTTGCATTATGTATAAGTGGGAGCCGTTTGAATATTACAGCCGAAGTAGTTGAATTGAATGGCTTAATAATCTGTCTTTATAGTGAATAAAATCTAGGAGGTTGCAAGCTCCTTCATAGATGAAGCTAAGGTATGGCATTGATTACTAATTACCATACCCTCAGATTTTTTTCATACCACTATGTGATCAATCCATGACAGGTTTACAAAAAGGAAAATACAATTAATGAAAAGAATTAATTAGTTTGTGTTTAAATAGCATGTTAGTTGTCAACTAATAATTAATTGAATAGGTGAATAATCTTTTTCTCTTTTTACCCCAAAATGTTAGCTATATAAGAGTTTTATTTGCCTTTTGCTATTTATTTTCTAGGTCATTCTTTTTCACATTTATGATAATGTTTCCTATGGCTAATTTTACATGTGCTTGAATTTTCGTGATCTTAATCCATAGTTTATTTCTCTTGTAGTTTTCAAATATTTGGTTCTCAGACATGTATTATGACTTTGTATTGTTGGTGTTGGGATACCATGGTGTACTTTCAATGGTTTAGATGTTAGAAACCAACAAAATTAACATTTTAATGATTGGCTTAGCAGTTAGCACCACTTGTCAACATTTATTATGAGATGAGTAATTAATGGACACCCATCTCTCTGCCTTCATGAGCATCTATCTTGGTGTTTAGCAACATCTCAGGTTATTACCGCGGTCGATAGTGATTAATGACAAGAACAACATGGTCTCATGGAAATGAAATTGCAACTTGCAATTTGCAAGCAAATCAATAATATGCTTTGGAGGATGCACTGTTTCCAAACGTCTACCATGATGGAGCTGAAAGTCTTGGTAGCTGAAAAAAAGGGGAAAAAAATAACAAAATGCCTTGTGGGTTCCACAGTGGAATGGAGATAAACCACCTAGCCTTGTAGGTTATTCACCTTCAATGATCAACAAGACGGTAGTTATGAGGCAATATGATCGTTTGGGTTGAAAATTGAAAAACTTCCGACTGTCTTAATCTATTGTGCCACCTGAGTTTTTAAAACTGAACCTGAACCTGCAATAAGTTGGAACAAATGAAATGCTACTTTCTCTTAATACCAATTACAACAGTGTGTTCTTAGCCAAAAAAATTACAACAGTGTAGTACATCGTTCCTTGCTATCAAAATTTACTTTACAGGTAAGACAGTGGAACGATTAAAAAAGAAATGGAAAATCCCACCCACTTACATCTTACCTTCCAAAAGTCCTAAGAGACCTCAAAGAGAAGGAGAAAGAAGACTAAATGAAAAACCTTTTACCACCCACAGTAACTTAGGAAAAATAAAAGTTAAAAAGAAATACCAAAGGACAAAAACAAGGGAAAAAAAAAAAAAAAACTAGCCGGCAGCAGAGAAACAACCTGCATATGCCTCCCAAAACCAACTTAAAATGGTCAATATCAATGACAGGTGAAATAACACCAACCGTCCCCAGCCCAGCAATCTAGGATACTTTCCACAAAATTCCCAGCAACCCTTTATATGTGTATGTACACTCAGAACAGGCCGAGTCCTATATTTCTCCCTGGCGTCTCCCTCCAGAACCGTCTCTCAAAAAAAATTCCGAGGTTGATATGTTATGGTTTATCAGCGGCCAACAAGGATTTATCTAATTTCAGTAATTATTGGTCCAGTTGATCTGTGCTCGTTGAGGTTGCTGAAAAACTCCAGCAGGGGGTCCCACCATCTCAACTGCTCCAGCCATTGTCTGAGATTGCTGCAGTAGTGGGTGAACAGTTGCAGCAGCCACCGTTTGGGCAGGATGATAGATTCCAGGTCCAGCAAAAGCACCATGGCCTCCCTGTGTCGGAGCAAACGTCACATGCTGCCCCTGGGGAAGGTTGTAGAAAGAGCTGGGCTGCAAGCTGGAAATGTCTCTACCTGGTGCAGGAATCCAGACAGTCGAGCCTTCACTCTAAAARAATGAAGAATGAGACCACTTTGTTATTTGTAAATCCTTCTCCAAAGTACTCAATAATTTATCATATCAAGTGCATAATACGCATTGACATGTACATTCACAAAAGAGAAGTTGAATTTCACATAGTAATGGCATGTAGGTTATAACATGAAACTTTCAGAGTAATTAAGCCGAGGTCACAGTATGAAACAAGTATATCAGATAAGAAATTTGGTTTTATGCCAGGGAGATCAACCTTGGAAGTTATATTTTTTGATAAATAACCTTGAAAGTTATATTTATAAAACAGCAGTGTTTTAAAAGTGTAAGGCACAAAAAAAGCACAAGGGCCAATTTGTGCCTGAGGCGCAAGGCGCAAGGCGAGGTGCATGCCTTTTTAAGAAAGGCACAAAATTACAAAAAAAAAGCTAAAAAATAAAAAAAAAATCAGAAAATTCCAAAAAATGCCCAAAAAAATCAAAAAAAAATATTAAACATAATATTAATAAAAATATAAACTTAAATTTTAAAATAAATTATTTAAAAAACCTATTATCTAAAATTAAAATACATAAACATAACATGTAAAATGTATTCAAATGAAAATTTTAAAATAAAAGCAAACATATAAAGCATTTTCAAGCATGTAAAACCCACAATCTCTTTTTCTCCTTAATTGCATTGCTTCAAGTAGTTAATGTGATATAAAGCATATTGTGTTCTTGATTCTATGAGTCGCCTTTGTAGCACACCCCTCAAGGCAAACCCGAACAAGTCTATGTTAGGGTCTGAAATTCTTATTTCTCACATAAAAATTAATGATTTTATAACTTTCATTGCCTTTTCAGAAGGTGTTTTATTGCAATGAATGAATGAACATAAGCAAAAAGCGCAAAATTTTAAAAAGGCACACACCTGGGCTGAGGCGCAAGGCGCATCAGGTGCGCGCCTTTTGAAAGAGGTGCGCCTAGGACCTAGGCGAGGTGCATACCCCAAAATGCACCTCGCCTGTGCGCCTAGGCGCGCCTTTTAAATCATTGTAAAACAGTTTGGGGAGAAGAAAGATATATGGTATTCATTGATTGAAAAAATTTCTAAATTTATAATATGGTGGGTGCCAAGTTTAGTTGGATTGAGTTGAATTTAAGGGCATGTAGGAGAATACTTGAAAGACTAAGAGGCATATAAAAGCATTTTCAAAGGAATCAATTTCAAATATAACACTCAGATTCATCCACTACCTATCAAAAAATCAGATTAATCTACATGATGATGAACATAAATATTTTTCATGCATAGAAGATAGAACAGCATAGTTGCTTATATTTGCCTTTAGCGAAGGATGTCTCAAGGTCCAGTCATATGAATGGACTTGATTAATTGAGTGGTGATTTTAATGCAGTGCAGCATAATAGGGATTTTCCAGCATTACTACAATTGTTGCCCTAGTACTATTTCCACCAATGTTCAAGAACCAGGCCAAACATAGAACCGGAAAAGGGAGAGATTCACGGGTCAGACAAAACACATTAAAGAGGCACAAATAAATGCAATTGAAGAGATGTATTAATAGTAACAAGACAAAACACATAATAAGGTCTTGGGTTCAAGTCTTGTTATCAACATTTTAACGTTTCTATTCATGTTATGACCTGGGCAGTTCCATAAAACTGGGACTGATTCACCGGTTTTCCAATTAAACCAGCTGGTCAGTCAGTTTTTCATGAATTATGGTTTTCAGTGTATGACCAAACCAGCCGAAGGGTCAGATCACAATTTAACCGGTTCGATCGATCAGTCCGGTCCGGTTTTCTAAACAATGATACAGGCACCATATCTGTATCTAAGATCTAGTTAGGAAACAAATACAAAATAAGAATTAGTAACAAGAAAAAWGGAACATTACACATAATGTGGCGTATATGTTACATAAAAAAGTATACAATTTCACAAATATTATTGTGGTTTCCAGCAGAATCTGTTGTCTAGGCAACCAAATGACCAAGGAAAAAAAATGCAAGCACTGTTCTTGAATTTTCAAATGACAATTACCTAGCCATCTTATGAATCAGAAGGCACCCAAAATTGCTCAGAAACATGTATATAAAGGGTACTGTAACACCTCACACACTTGAAGGTGCATGGATAGATAAATGGTGGTACTTGGAAACTTAATATGAAAATATTATCATTATGACAAGATACCCTAAATGGCATCAGACAGGCATAAAAAAAAAGAAAAAAAAAAGCAAGTAAAAAAGGTTACAAAGGGCACCAAAAAATGCTCAGAAAAATGTGACACAAGGGTACTGTAACACCAGTACACCACACACTTAAATGCATATAGACGGATAAAAGCTGATGCCTGGAATCAAATGTATGTGCACAATGCTCAGGCCTGGAAAATAAATAGAGAGGATTGGCATTTCAATTGGACAAATTGAACCACAATAGAGGCTTCCGAGATCCTTAGAAAAATGTAAAAGATGAAAAGAAAAGGAGAGAGTTGAGAGACAAAACTAAGTGAAAGTGAGGAGACAAATGAACAAAAAAAAAAAGAGAATGCATTGCATGCCAAAACATTATTTTCATTGTTGGACCACTTGAAACTTTACAATGGCACATAACTTGTAAACAGAAGAGGCATACAGCAAGCAGGACAGATACTCTAATAAGTAGGACATGTCAACCAACCAGGTAGTCCATTATGTCAACACATCCCTTATTGAACCCAAGCATTTAACCAACCTCTCCTCACAATAGACACTTAATTGTAACTAGTGAAATAAGAACCATAGAACGATAAAATAAAACAATCACACATAGGCATTACAGTTTCCTCCTTTTATTCTCTTCTGACAAATTCTTGTCTTATCATCAAAAATTTTTTGCGACAACATCATACTAGGAAGGCTATGGAAAATCCTATGGTCAAAAAGCATCGCTGGGTGAAGCAACAAGYCCCAATTTGTGCATTTTTAAATTCTTGCCATTGTCACATGTTTCACTGTTTTCTCCAAGAGAAAACAAGATATTCCATACAATGCTAAAACAACATTAAAAGGAAGCCCACGTTTCCGACCCTAAAGTAGGCTAAATCAATGTTGTCAAAATCTTACGATTTACAATACAGTTCAAGATTTGAATCATGATTCCCAAAGGTTTTGATTCAAATCTTATGTCTGAATCCTTTTCTGCATAAATCTTATTATTTTTGTTTGAATCCTATAATTTGATCATAAATATTACAATTTATATGATTTCTATGATTCACTACAATTAAAATAAATTCAATTAAGAATTAGTTCTCTACTTTGTTGGCAGCTCCATAGAGAACCCGGGACTGGAAGGAATAGGGGTGTGTTCAGAAATTCAGAAAAAAAAAAAAAGTTCTGGCAATGTATTCAGGGCCAATAGGAGTTGGAGATTCAACAAAGGTTGAACTTCAAGCACTTCTTCAGGGGTTACAACTAGCCAAACAAGCAGACTTTAAAAACTTGGAGGTTGAAGAGGACTCAGAACTGGTGATTTCCTGGTCTAATTTTAGAGGTAATGCTCCCTGGATAATATAAACATTCCCTGCGAGAGACTGAAAGCTTAGCAAGGGAGATCAATGCCTCTTTCACTTAGATCAGAAGGACTGCAAATGGAATGGCTGATTCACTAGCAAAACAGGGAGTTTATGTGCAACATCTTTTCTGATGGCTGTAATCTGTTTTCATCTCTCTCAAATTAAAAAAATTAATCATTATTTGCTGATCAAAAAAAGTTCTCTACTTTGTTTTTTTTTCTTTTTTTTTGTTTATATTTAGTTTTGCCAGGGAGACTTTTTATACAGCCCTTACTAGAACATGATTTATTTACGTTATTTAAGACTAGAAATTGAGTTTATTTTCCATCATATGTAGGTTAAAGAGCCATTGTATGTAGGTTTGTTAAATTTTCAAGCCAAACTTGATTATATCATCCTAGGCCTGTATTGTATAAGTAGTCAATTCTAACATTTTACATACATATATGGTAGATATAGATTAAAAATAGGGTAAAGTCATTTTCCTATATATATATATATATAGAGAGAGAGAGAGAGATCATAGATAGCCTTTTAATATGTCTATGTTTAATTTTTTGACAAGTTTGCAAAAAAAATTGAAATAATCTTACAATTTATGATACAATTCATGATTCAATTCGACAACTTTCTCTATGATTTACAATACGATTATGATTTTCAAAGCATTCACTAAATAGATTAGGGGAAGGGTAAAACACAAACCTGCTGCCCAGTGATGTAAACATTATTTTCCTTGAATTGAGAAGCAGCAAGGTCCTCATTCCCAGTCGAGTTTCCAGTAGTTGCAGCTGGACTGGGACTGTAGCTAGCTGGGGAGGAGCTGTATGGTCCATAACCAGTCGGCATTCCAATGTGAGCTGAGTTGCCTGCATTAGCTCCAGGCTTGTATTGTGAAAGGGAGTATTTGACGCCTGTGGCAGCAGCTGCTGCTGCTGCTGCAGGAGTTGAATATACATTACCAGCTGGAGGTTGCTGCGGGAAGGCAGTGTTGCTTAAAAAATGGTGAATAGGGGGCGGTACATAGAATGGGGAGAAATACTGGCTGTATGGCAGGTAATTAGGTGGGAAATGGGGTATATGTATCCCAGCAGGCTGCCGGAAAACAGGAACTGGTTGCTGAGTCACTGCTATAGAGCTCTGCATAACTCCTGCAGTTTGTGTGACAAGTGGGGTTGGACCTGTTGTAGACAGTACAAGGGAGTTCCCACTCTGCAATTGGACATAGATGTTGGAGTTAGAACTGATAAAAAAAAGTTAAAGGCAAGGAAAAGGAACAGAATGTACATTCTCAAATAAAGCCATGATCACATACATACATGGACTGAATATACAATTAATGCAGAATCATGAACAACTTCTGACTACAATAAAACAGTTTCCCTACATATTCTGAAAACAGATACCCTACTTACTAGATACTACAGAAAAGGCAAGGCACAAACAGAAAATACTGCAACCAAATATGAGAAACCAATTTGTGCACACAAAACATTCCAAGGATAATTATTACAGATAACAACATTTTATAGATGATAATTATAGTACTAAATAATATTTTCTTCAAATCAAACATATAATATACCAAACATAATATATCTGCTCTTCAGACAGTTTTTCAGAAATGTTTGGGGAAAATGTTCTCTTGGTTAACAGTAAACAATGTGCTCAAGGACAGAAATTTTAGTTCCATTTTTACTGTTGGGAATCATTTCGTAAATCAGGGTTTGGGGATATAGTTCCACTTGTGCAGTTTTTTGTAAATCCCTGTGTATAGCTCCTTGTTTGACATGTTTTTTGCCTTTAATAAATATATACTTTGCCTGTTTCAAAAAAAAAAAAAAACAAAACCTAATATATCTGCTAGGGTATACCACTGGAACATAAAATTTGTACCTGGCCAGCTCAAATACATACTTTTCTCATCTCCCAAAAATAATGTATCAGAGAAGATTTTTTGTGTTAGTATAGGTTAGTTTTTTTTATCAGAAAATCATTCATTAATTACTGAAACAAAAAGAAGTTACAACAAGAGCTTGATCTCACTTAAACTTGCCATAGATCAGTTTCCTTATTATGTTTACTGCACTGTTGTCTAGAGAAGTGTAGAGTAGTCAATCTCATTGTCATTTATTTGCTAAAATATGGACACTATGGAAAGGTCTGTCTCATTACTTAAACGGGATATTATAGTGAATGGACATATAAAGAAGCCTGGCCAATCGGGAGATTAAGATTTTTCTTTCCAATCAGTAAACAACTTTCTTCTTCTCATCATATGTGCCTGCAATGTCCTTTCTTTTCTTCTTTCTGCAGTCTTCCTTCCTTTCTTTCACTAAGTTAAACAGACCTTGTTCGTGATATCAGAGAATGGTTTGTGATCAAGCTTAAAGGTTTCTGCAGCTCTCCTCTCTTCTTTCCCTTTCTTAGTAACATTGGAAGCGGTTCAGATTTGATTTTTCCTCAATATCTTCTTTCCCTGATTGAAGCGAGTCTGGATTCAGGTGTACCCTTTACTTGTATAAACAAAGAGGGACTGAAATTCTATTTCTTGAAGATAAGTTGCTGTTGATGAATCAAGAAAGTGAAGATATAATTGGTGAGTTTCTGGTGATGTGATTTATGTGGAAAGTTGAGTACTGCTTAGATGCTCAAACAGTATAGTTGATGGTATTTGTGATTGGCTCATAATTGTGATGATAGAATACCAGACTCTTGGTGTTGAATAGTTCTTGTGGAGGACATGAAGAAGGTCATAGTACCAATGGTCGTAACAAAATTTAGATTGGTTGTAATCTTGGTAAGGTCACCAGTGTTAAGTTTTGTACTTATTATGGCCCTAAGAAACATACTATTGACTATTGTAGAGACCTTCATGGAGTTTGTGCCTTTCACATTATGGTCTTGAGGGACATATAAGTGACTTCAACTTATGCCAACCAGGCTTCTTTTCATGATGATACTTCAACAATGCAATCGTCTACCACCTCAGCTTGACAGGGTAATGAGACAGTAAGAATTACCAAGGAGGAATACTCATTAGCATATCTCTGCATCTTTGGCATCTTTTTCCATTGCTATTTTAGCTCAATCCTCAAGTGTTCGCTCCTGCTTCCTCTCTACAACTTCTTCATGGGTTATTAGGAGCATTGGATCATAACAGGTACATATACTTGATTTTACTCGGCTTGACCATATACCTATTCATCTTAGCATGTCACTCTTGATAATGGATTTACCATCATATGTATCTTGTAATATGAAATGCTTCTCCTACTCCACATCCATCTCTATCCTCCTTAATTCTTATCTGTTTCTCATTTCCTTTTAACCTAAAATGTCAGTAATTAAATTAAGGGGTCATTTGATAGTGGCTGAACTTGCTGAACTGAATGACATTGTTTTGTCTTTAGTGGATAAAATAATTAAATATAAAACATTCAAGGGTATAGTAATCTACCCAACTTCAACTTCAGCCATTAAGAACACTACCTCCTTAAAAGCTTATTTACTTAAGGACAAAGCAACAAGTTTTTTTTTCAGTTCAGCCACTTCAACTGTTATCAAATAGCCCCTCTTAATTGTTGTGCCACATTTTATCCTTCTTGCTATGCATTTCAAGCTTTAAAAGACGAAGAGGTATATTGGTGGAGGACTTGAGTCTAGGGGGGGTTGTACTATCTCAATGGTGGAATCATTTGAAAGAGCAAACCTCTAGAGGGAACTGGCCTTTATATATACTGTGGGCAAAGTTAGAATGTTTCAAAAGAACAAACCTCTTGAGGAGACTGGCCAGTCTGTGGGGATAACACTGCAATGTTCCCATTGTACTTGGTCGCAGCTCCAGGTGCAAGAAAGGGAGAGAATCGGCCATCTCCATCTGTGCCAGGGCGGTAAAATTGGGTATAATAGCTTGTAGATGGATCAAATGGCTGCTGAACCTGAATGGAAAATGTTCATTGGCAAAAGATTTTTTTTAGAGGGCAATACAAACAAAACTTACAAAATAGGGAAAATTTTGAAGTCCAAATTGGTGAGTAAGAATGTCTCTTAAGAAATAGGGGAAATTTCCAACCGCCATAGTACCCAATGCAACCAAGTTAATATAGAATGGAAGTTCAGGTTCGCTAAAAGAATTGGGATGTTGACCTTGCAATGCTCATAAACAAATTGTTACTAATTAGTTTCAACCACACTAACAATATAGATGCCATTCATAAGTAGAAAAACAGAAGGGCAAGGATACAAAGGCCTAGAAGCCAAAAGAGGAAGGAAATGGAATAGCCAAAGCCTAAAAACATTGTAATTAAATTCTCAAACATAAGAACTGTGATGACATAATATGCTGAGCCAGTATGGCAATTTGGCTCATGCTCATGGGATATAGACTATAAAATGGCAAAGAATTGAATGAATACAACAAAGCTTGAAATTGAGAGACATGACATGCCTGAGGCTCAGAGCTTTCAAATGGTGCAAGCTGGTTCCCTAGCACTGAAGGCATGAACCCAAAGCTATAGGCTGGGGCGGTGTGAACAACTGAGTATTGAGGACCTCCAGATGGCAAAGTTGTCTCTGGCTTGGACTGATCATATTCTGGGACTGTAGTGGATGATACATCAGCTTCCCCAGAAGATAGATTTTCTCGCCTGTGTGTTGGTGATTGTGAATTGTCAAGATATTCTTCTTCATGAACAGTTGAAGATGCATTCTGATTGCTGCAGTCAATTATAATAACACTAATAAATACAAAAAAAAAGTGTAAAGGGAAAAGCTAAAAAGAAAAACAGAACAACTTGTACTGTGACACAGAATATCAGAAATGTGCTTTTCAGTGGACTGCATACATAACACTTTTGGAATAACCAAGACAGAGCACAAGTGAAATGAATTGGGCGGTACACCCTCTTTGTATGTGTTAAAATTGCTAATTAGAAAGTATGCTAGATTGAATGGAGCCATTCAGATGACTTAACCATGCCATCTATCTTACTTTCACTGCACCCACTTTGGGAGTTGGGACCCTTGTATAATGAAAAATCCCCAGTCCCCTGAAGTTGCATATCAATCTGCCACTGCTGCTAAGAGCCATCTCTCTGACCAACCCAATCTCATATTAAATTGAGCAATTGCAATAACTATAATAATAACAAAAATAACAACAACAATAATAAAATCAATATAGGTAAGGTCGGAATCAATACTGTTTGAACGATKATTGTCATTTTGGTTTTTTATTGGAAACAACAAAATTTATTACCTTACTTATCTTACAACTATGGTGCCATAAACCCCTCTTTGGTAAGTTAGCCAAGGCTAAACTCCTACCCTATTACACTGGTATTTTACCCCAATACAAAGAAATTCTATGTTCACCATATTTTCTAAAGCCATCTGCTAGGTGGTTAACACTTAAAAGTCCATTCCAATCTCCAAAGATAACTTAGATATTTTCCTCTCTATGTTTCTATACTCCACACCTGCCGCATTGTCCATTACCCAGTTAATTACAACCCTTGAATCCCCTTCAACCTGTAATCCAGTGTAGTTGAGTGACTTAGCCAACCGGAGACCATGCAGCACAAGACATAGTTCCACTCTAATAGAAATTATTATCATTTCATTTGCTTCTTCATCCTTATCTATTTTTGATCTTTGATCGTAACTCATTGTACATGGATTAGGGTGAAAATAGCTAGATAACAATGTACAGTGACTCATTGTACATGGACAAAGATCATATATGAAACTATAAATACAATGATAACTTCAGTGTTTCAAAAAATATATTGTCATTCTGCAGAACAACACTTTGGCCATCCTGAATGGAAGAAACGAAAAAGATAGCCAAAAAGTCACCTCAGAATAGATAAAAGAATTGAAAAACCAAGTCAGCATAACCAATATGATAGAAAGTTTCATCACTTAATCTGTACTAATAAGAATTTGGCTACATGAGAAATTGATCAAAAAGTTGCTGAATCCTATTTTGTGCGCATACCAAATGAAGCATTTAAAATAAACCAAAGTATATACGCTTTCTCCATACCAGGTAAAGAAGTCAAAATATCTTCTCTTTTATTTCCTTTAACTGAAGTTTCTCTTTCATACTCATTTGAGCAAAACAAAAGCAGAGTATAAGGAACAACCATGAAAAGTAGTAGTTTTTTACTACTAAGATATCAATTTCTTTTTTGTATACAAATCAACTTAATTCTTTCACCAATAATGAGTCTAATGTGTGGATTCATCACCTTGACGAAGGCTCCTCGGCTGTTTCTTCAATCCCTTGGGAAGATTCAGATGGAGGTATAGAGCTTTTGTCACTTTCAGGGCCATTGGGATAGCTTGTGGTCAGACTAAAACCAGCATCAAAGCTTCCAAAACTCAATCCACATCTTTCAGCTTCAGGGACTTGTAGATGTTGTGGAATGATAACATGCTGACCATCAGACAGATGCAACTCTCCTATTTTCTTCTCCAACTTTGAATTTTCAGCTTCTGAGGCAGAGGCACCCAATGCAGGTAATGGCTGAGAACTCGCTTCAACTGTGATAGATGGAACCTCACTTGTCCCAACAGCTCCAGAAGCTTGAGCAGGATTTATTGGCTTTGGTTTCCACTCTTTACTGGGGCCTAGTGTAAATAAGATTTAAAAACAAAAAAAGAAAAAGAAAATTCTGCAATTAGTTTCCATTGGTAATATTGACCATTTAACCAAAGCATTCAGAAAAGTACAAGAAACAAGAATCCAAACTAAAAGTCAATATCAATCAAATTATGTGCATAATCTATCAACAAAAAAAAAAAATCAAACTCTGTGCATATATACCATGCACAAAAACCAAAAAGATTTCCAAAAAAGAACTTCCAGAAAAAGTTGATGGTTTTGAAGGAAATAGAAGCTCAAAAAGACAATTTTCAGGATAATCAATTACTGACTACACACAAAAGTAATTACATATCCAAGTATAAAAATGTGCTAGCAAGGAATAAGAGATAACTCTTCATAATCAAGATTCCTATGCACTGATGCATTTAAACTAATTTCAGGTTATCCCCAAACTCAATATGGATACAAGTTAACAAGATGGGACCTATAATATGACAAGAAACTTTTTTTTTTTTGAGAAAGGTAAAGTATGGTATATTTTTTTGTAATCAAAAGTATGGTCCTCTGTACAATGAGAAGCTGTACATGGCATCCAATTAGGGAACCCAATAAAATCCACCCTCAAAAACGAAGAAAAAGTATCATTTCTAAATACATTGTGGACAGACAGCCAGCCCTTTAAGTAACGTACTGCTGCATTTATCACCCCTGATTCTGAAGCCGACTTCTGTACAAAAATTATGCAATTCCCTTCATGCCAAATAGCCCACAAGATCATAGATGGTATTGTGATCCAACAGGCCTTCCCTTTTCTTGTCATACCTGAGACTTGCTAACCTTCTAACAGATCTTTCACCGACCCAGGGGAATACAATTGCAAATTTATAACTCCAAGAAAGTGGGGTCAGACTGAAGCACTAAAACTGCAATGAAAAAACAAGTGAMTAACTGTTTCCTCCTCTTGGTTGCAGAGCACACAAAGAGAGTTTGGGACAGTAAAGCCTTTCTTCAGCAACATATTCTTTGTCAAACATTTTCTCAAAACTTCCACCTTTAGGAAAAATTTTACTTTTGATTTGAAGGTGCCATACTCCCCCAAATGAGTTTACTTGGAGCTAAAAGTCACGTCACCAACTAGCCCATTATAGCAGGACTAAACAATAAACTCCCTAGATTTTGTCCACTTTTTTATCAGCAACGCAGGAAAATATTCATTCATTAAAAATTCAAAGAGAGGGATTAAAACAAGAAGTTGTGAGAAACTAGCCAACCCATTACATAAACAGCTAGCCACCCAATATTGTATTACAATTGTGCCCAGTACATATGTTGTCTTTGAACCCCTGCTTATCAGCCAAGCTGTTAGCAGATCTTCCAACCCATTTTATTTGAACATTGAAGTCTCAGTCTCTAGACAGCCATTTGAAGCGCCTGAATTCATTTCTGAGCTGCCAAACCACCCCCTTGCCTTTTTTTCAGTCATCTCACTACTATCTTCAAATCACCTTTAGACCTGTTCATGGGCCGGGCTTCGGACCCAACTTTACACTGTCTTGGGCTCGAGCTTCAGGCCGGGCCCATTAGAATTTTGACAAAAGCCAAGCCCGAGCCCAGCCCATGAACACGTCTAATCACCTTCAATGATCAAACTACCTATTCCCAACTCTTCAGCTTTCTCAACCCTGAAACCTACTGCTAAAAATTCTGCTCTTACCGAATCACCTAGCTTAGTTGGGCCTAAGAACAAGGCACAAATAAAACCACCCTCATCTCTAATCACCCCTCCAATTCCTAAGGGGACTAGATTGCCCACACTACTGCCATCGAAATTCAGCTTCATCCACCCACCCACTGGGGGTGACAAGACCTCTAGGAGCTTTTGTTTCCTAGAGGAAGAGCCAGCTATTGCCCCCCAACTCCTGAATAAGTCCTCCACATTGAAGTCTGATAAGAATTTCAAGGTCTTTACCCAATGAGAAACTCTCAAAGTTACAAGTTCTAACATTGTCTCCTTACTCCTTTCCTTCTCCCCAAACACTGTTGAGTTTCTTTCTTCCCACAGTGTGCAAATCACTGCTGTCCTTATACATCTCCACAGGATCCTGCCTCTCCTTTTCGTGCTTCTCAAAACGTAAGGGCTAAATAACCTTGACAAGCTAGCAGGATGGTTCTACAACCAAAAAGAGAGGAAAAAAAAACATTTTCAAATAGACCTGTTCATGGGACAGGCTTCAGGCTTGATTTTACACTGTCAGTCTCAGGCTTTGGATCAGGCCCATTAGAGTTTTCGCAAAACCCAAGCCCAATCCCGACCCATGAACAGGTCTATTCTCAAATGCAGCAAATAAAGGAACAGGAGGTTAAGGATTAAGAGTTTGTCCACTTCCAGCATCTTGTATCCTGGACTTGCACCTGTTGATCGTGAAGGACTTCAAAAAGTTGAGCCACCAAATCCAGTTCCTGATCAGTGAAGTTTCTCCTTGAGAAAGATGACTAAATAATCCTATTATTCTCCACCACAAAAAAAAAAAAAATCTGACTGTAGCTATTCTGTTTTCAAACACATTAAAAAGAAACAGAAACACTTCCTTTAAAGCTCTGTCCCCACACCAGGTCCAGCCAAATACAAATCCTCCTCCCATCCCCTACTTTGAGCTTTAAGCTATCAAGAAACTTATGAAAGTTTTAGAGATGTCCTTCCAAACCGTGCACCCATAAGACATATTGGAATCCATCACATCCCACCCATTGCTTCTCAAGCCATACATCTCTTCTATGAGCTTTCTCCACAGGCATTTTGGTTCATTAGAAAACCTCCAAAACCACCTTCCCAGCATAGCAACATTGAACTGCTTAACCTTCCTGATTCCAAGCCCTCCTTGAGACAAGGGTTTACACACCTGTTCCCAATTAACCAGGTGATATTTGCCTATTTGGCTGAATCCTTCCAACTAGCCCAGAGGAAGTTCCTCATCTTCTGCTCTATTTTATCAGCCACACCAGGAGGAATTGAGAAGATGGAAATGAAATAGGCCGGTAGGAGTGCAAAGACGCTTTTTATTAGCATCACCTTGCCTCCTTCGGATAAATAATGAGCCTTCCAGGAGGTCAGCATTGAGTCTATCCTTTAAAGGACAGGACAAGTAACATACCAAACAAAAATATTCATTTTACAAATTTACAGGTTTTTTGAAAAATGCTGTATGATATTGTATTGCTGTAAACAGCATGAGATAACCTCAGAAAAGGATTGCAGAGTATCTGTGTATAACTTTAGACCATGTATAATGTGTACAAAAAGAAACTTAGAAACATCAAAGATGATATTGACCCCTTTTTTTTGATAAGTTGGTGATATTGGCCCATTGATTCCAATTCATATCAACTGTGTGACACCAGAAAACTGCTTTAAAGCTCCCAGCCCACCACATGAAGGTCCATTCAGCCTTGCTGAGTAGTTGAAGTTCCTTCAAGGACAAGGGCTTCAAAAATCCAACTGTTCCTTTTTTTATCAGCAGAAATAATTCATCATCATCATCAACATCACCCATGCCTTATCCCAACTATATGGGGCTGGCTACATGAATCCTGTTTCGCCAATCCGTTCTATTTAAAGCCATATCCATTGTTAAATTATCCCAACTGTTCCTTTTTTATTTCATCATCATCATCAACATCATCCATGCCTTATCCCAACTATATGGGGCCGGTTACATGAATCCTGTTTCGCCAATCTGTTCTATTTAAAGCCATATCCGTTGTTAAATTATTAGTGGTTAAATCATTTCTTAGTTCTTACTACTTCTACCCATGTCCTTTTTGGTCTACCACGATCTGCTTTTCTAGCCCCTTCAATGTGTAACAAATCACTTCTTCTAACTGGCACAATAGGTGTGCCCAGCCCATCTTAGTCTACTCTCTCTCATTCTATCACCTATTGGAGCTACTTAGGTTCCTACAGATAACTTCATTCCTAATCCTATCCTTTCTAGTATTTCTACTCATCCATCTTCGCAGATGCATTTCTACCACATTCATTTTCTGGACATATAGCTTCTTGACTACCCAACACTCTGCTCCATACAACATAGCTGGTCTCACAACTGTTTTATAGAATTTTCCTTTTAATCTAAGTGGTATTCGCCCATCACATAAAAGTCTAGATGCACCCCTCCACTTTGCCCATCCTGCTCTAATTCTTTCTGTGACATCCTCTTCAATCTCTCCCTTGTTATGAATTATTTAACCAAGATACCAGAAATGGTCACATTGAGTTACCTCTTGGTCTCCAATCCTAAGTGTATCTTGATCTACACCTATTATTACTAAATTTATATGTCATATATTTTGTTTCAATCCTACTTATTTTAAAACCTCTTGTTTCTAAGGCATTTGTCCATAAACTTAACTTTGCATTTAATCATTCATTAGTTTCATTAATTAAAACAATGTCATCCGCAAACAACATGAACCATGGAACTTCCTCAATTCCTCCTAAATATGTTTAGTCAATTCACCTATGATCAATGCAAATAGATRAGGGATAAGTGTTGAACCTTGGGGAAGACCCATAGTAACTATAAAATTTTAAGTCTCTTCCATTGGTGTTCTAACATTGGTTGTTGCCCCCCCCCCCCATACATATCCTTAACTAGGTCTATATACCTATTTTGAACCCCTTTCTTTTCTAAGACACACCACATCATCTCTCTAGGAACTCTATCATATTGCCTTTTTCTAGATTAATGAACACCATATGAAAATCTTTCTTCTTCTCCCTGAACTTTTCTATCAATCGTTTCAAAAGAAATATAGTTTCCATGGTTGATCTCCTTGGCATAAAGCCAAGTTAGTTCTCWGATACACTTGTTTCAAGTCATAATCTTTGTTAAGTTATTCTCTCCTCAAGTTTCATAGTGTGATTCATAAGTTTAAGAGCCTAATAGTTATTACAACTTTGTATATTACCTTTGTTCTTAAACATAGGCACCATACTATTGTTTCTCCAATCACCAAGCATCCT